TGCGCGGTGCTGTGACTGTTACATATTTTTGTAAAATGTGTTTTTGAAGGAGATTACACAGGGGTACTTTTTACAGTTTACTCATATATGTGTAATCTCCAAATAACAACAATCCCCTTGTGATAAATAAACTAGTAAAAACCCCCATGTGAAATTTAGTCAAAGGCAAAAACCCCCCCGGTTGACTTAAGTGTGGCTCAATCGCGGGTTGCGCGACTGTTAGTTAGTTTTTGGACGTGAAATGACAAAATTGACCCTAAAAATGTATTTATATGTATATATATTATATGTATATATATTTTCCTTTTAATTTGATTGTTTAGAAATTAAAATATTGTTAAAAAATAGTAAATAATTAAATTTAAAAATCAAATTAAGTATAGATTTTTTTAAATCATATTAATGGAATTTAAGTTTTTTTTTTCCATGTAGCGATAATTTAAAATCTATACAAAAATTATGTGATAATAAAAATAAAAATAAATTAAAGATCCCATTGTACCTTTATAATTAAGATATAACAAAAATAAAATAATTAAATTTTAAAAAATATAAGAATTTATTAATTGCAAAATCCTGGTGGTATTTGTGTCTTTTTATATGAAGTCAACACTCAAATGAGAAATTGGCCGAGTGTGCTATTTAAATAATTTCACAAGGGGTTTTTGCTAGTTTATTTATCATAGGGGGGTTTTCGTTATTTAGAGATTACACATGGGTACTATTTGCAGTTTACTCATATATATATATATATATATATATATATATATATATATATATATATATATATATATATATATATATATATATATATATATATATATATATATATATGCATAATTGGGCCAACTCAATAGCCTATAATTCCTTTACCTACTGGGCCACGAACCCAATATTGAAGATCACTACGTCAGAGGCCCAATCACCTTCAAGTAAGGTTTGGACCCAACAATCTCAACTAAGGTATAAATAAATGTTTGAACTCATTCATTCCTTAAGGTACGTCCTATTATCTGAGCAATACTACAACATGTATTCTCATGACCTTTTCTAGTATCCGGATCAACCCCTGGCCTAGTTCACGTGTTCTATGATCGCAGGTATCTCAAGGTCATCAAGCTCGTGAGACAGTGATCCACTCTGCTCTTCCAGCTCATCCTACTTCAACACTATAAGGTGATCTAATCTCTAGCATCACACACACACACACACATATTTTTTAATTACTTTCACAGACACACACACACACATATAAAAAAAATAATTCGATTATATATATTTTCTACTATTCACTTTATAATTCATTAAGAATAATTTCTATGAACAAGATATTCCATCTAATAATAAAAAATATTCTGTTAAAGTTAACAAAATTATATTCAAATGGGTCCTATATTAAGATAGACTATACATATAAAAGGATAAAAATGACACAATTGAGAAATGAAAGGACAAATGTGAAACTAAATATTAAGATGATGGGTTATTAATGATATTTCAAACAATTTGAAATAGTACCTTTGGAAATTAAGAAGCAAGTGAAATTACCAAAACACCCTTCCGTTAATTATCGATGGGAATTTGAACAAGTGGTGAATGGGTTTCTCGGTTGCCGGTGACACATCCCTTATTATTTTTACCTATAAATACCCCTCGCACCTATGCCTTCATTTGCATCACTACTTCTGACTCTCAATTATATTCTCTCTCTACACACATAATAAAAACTAGTACTATATAGTATTATTTAATTTTTATTATTAATATATTAATATATATTAATCGTTTCTCTCTCTAAACTCTGACCCTTTTTCCCCCTTTCTCTCTCCTCTTTTCTCCCAGCTGATAAAATTAAGCTTTGAGAAGGAAGACAAAAATATTGAATTGATTGGTAGGGAATTTTTTTTTATTAATTGGATCGTAAGAAAATTCACGAAGTAATGAGTTTGACTATTAATTAATTGATTTAAATCTTGCAGTGTTGGCTATTTTGTCGATCTGAACATTGAATTTTCTTCGTGGATTTTGGCAATGAATCAGTGACTACGAAATTATTACCCTGTTGTTGGTAAGTTAAATTGCTTTATTTATTTATTTATTTTTTTTTTTTTCTCGTAATTATTTATGTTTGGAATGTTGATTCTCGTTTGGGTTTCAGTGATTAATTAATTGATTAGGTTAATCAGTTTTTGTTAATGGTTTGAAGTGATTGATTTGATAGTAATTGGGGGTTAGGGTTAGGTTGCAGGGCCGTACAATGTGCTAATTTGTTCTTCATTTTACACATTTTCTGTAAAGGATTTCTTTATTTTTTTTTCCAGTTTTGTTCTTGTAGTGTTCAATTATTCGATGATAGGATTTTTCGATTTTTAGTAAAAGACAAGCAGCATGCAATCTCTGAAATTTTTGACTCTGTGAAACTGATTCTTTCATCCCTGTTGTTACATTGATATATAATTTCCTCTTCCTTTTTTTTTTTTTTTTTTTTTTTTTTTTTTTTTGAAAGAATTATGAGGCTTAAAGTTTCTTCATAATCATATTTTACGCCGATGTGACGTTTACTGGAGCCATTGAGGGGTTATTGTATAAAATTAATTTACCATAATGCAAAGCAAATGTTGTGGTGAAGAAACCCATTGATTGTGACGTATTTTTGTACATTCTGTTTTCCTTGAATCTACGTGTTTTTAACGAGTATATGCACTTCGTTCTTACACGGTTTCTTTTTTAAAACTTTTATGCAGAAGGTTCTTTTAATTTAATTTGGCCAATCCCAAGGGCTGGCATTTTTGCTGATTGACACGTTGGTTGGCATGTTATGTTCCTGTTCTAATAGTAATTATCCGAATAAAATTACGAGTAGACATTATTGGAAATATCTGTTTGCTTGTATGCAACTTCTTGCTAAATGGGCTCCAAAGGAAGGCTGCTATTTGATCTTAATGTACCCCCTGCTGAGAATGACGATGATAATGATGATATTGTTTGCTTCCAGCCTCAGAGGGCTATTCCTTCTTCAACTACTGCAACAACCGACTTGTTTACAGCATCTTCTGGTCCCCAAGGGATAGTAAATAACCATGCTTTCTCCCATGATTCATCCGTGTCTGGTTTCCAGCCTTTTGTGAGGTCTAAATTTGTCCAGGGATCTGATATTTCTGCTGAAAAAAGGAGTTCTAGGGACACTCTCTCCGATTTTGCCTCATCTTCTAAACTGAGCAATGGCCAGGATATAAAGGCTGCACCAAACCTGCAATCAGGTTCTGTGAAATCTGAAGTTATAGAGAAGGAAGAAGGTGAATGGTCTGATGGAGAGGGATCTGGTGATGCTTGCAGAACAAGTATTATTCACGAAAACTCAAGTGTGACAAGTGATAAACAGGTTTCGGGGAAAGGCAAGGTTGATACGATGGGAAGTAGTGTTATGGTTGGAGATGTGGAGACAATATCTTCTAACTCTCGTGATGTTAAGAATGAAAATGAGACCCCTATATTAGGTTTGGATCCAGAAGCAAATGATAAGAAAGATGTGAGAACTATTGATGGTCCAGAAGATTCTGCTCCACCCCCAAAACAAAGAGAAATTAAAGGAGTTGAAGCAAATCATGCATTAAAGTATGGAAATAATCTTGGAAAGCGGTCGAGATTTGACCAGCAGAAGGAAGCAATGCTAGGAAAAAAGCGTAGCAGGCAGACCATGTTTCTCAATTTAGAAGATGTTAAGCAAGTTGGTGTGTTAAAGTCTTCAACCCCTAGAAGGCAGATTCCTGCACCGACTATAACCCGGAATATGATAGAAGCTCGTACCACTCTGCCATCTGCTGAGCACGAAGATAAGCAAAACCAGCCCGCGGTCAGGGATACACATCCAGCTGATTTACCTAGCAACGGAAAAAATAGTTTAGTGGAGTCAAATGAAAATAAACCTGAAAGTATTGGTGACAGTAGTTCTGGGATTATTGGACCTCCTAGAAGTTTGAATAGCTCGACAGAACTCTCTTCAGAAGTACAAACAGCACCTGTTCCTAGACAGAATTCATGGAAGCTTCCCCCTGATACAAGGCATCTTAAGAATTCGCAGAACTCTGGTAGGAAATCAGCTGTTAGCAGTCAGAACTCGGCTGATCTTAAATTTGGCGCAAAAAAAGTACCTTCCAAGAAGCAATCTTTTACAAGCAATCAATATCAAGATTCATCAGTGGAACGTCTTCTGCGTGAGGTGACAAACGAGAAGTTTTGGCATCATCCAGGTATCTAATTTTTCAAAGTCGTACTAGTTGTCAGAATTGGAAGGGGATCATTTTGGTGTTAACTTTTAATATTGCCACTCCCCTTAAGCTTTCTAGTGCAATTGTACAGTTTGGTTTAGGTGCATCATACTCTTTCTTGAGCATTCTATGCTATACTTGATGCTTTAGTTCAAAAGTGTGGAATAAGTATGATTGTGTTTTCCTTGTTGTGGCAGTCAGAAATTTTAGGGTTACCTTTGAATTGGTATTAAGTGTACGTTATTTGCTTATATTGGTGCATATTCTGTTGTCTTCTTCCTATTAGATTGTTTACGCACTGGAAGTGCGACCGTTTTTTGAGTACTGGTATCGTAAAACCGTAGGATTTTACGTATCTTTTACACTTATTAAGCATGTGGAATTTAAATTTTATGTGTCAACATGTATACAACATCTCCTAACATGAATAAATTATGTCCCAACATAAACAATATATGTGATTTTGGTAGACCAATCCTATCAGCAAAGACAATCTTTTCTATGGTGATATTGGCGAGCTTGTCTTGCCATTGGTTCTGTTCACAAAATACATGCCGGACAGTGCCTACTTCTGCTATAGCCAAAGAACATTTTCTTGCCAAATAAGTGTGTTCTCAATTTGCCATATAAATGAATGCAAGATCAATTTATATGCTAAGACGGAGTCCGATAAAATATAACTTCAGGAATAGGGTACGAATATCTCTACTAGTACAAATATAACTCCGCCTTAGTACAAATATAATAGGTTTGAGAAACCCGCAATGAAATCTCCTCGATTATCTCTAATAAGTGATAACACCTATACATTTTATATCTTCCTGTTGATGATTTTATATCCTTGGTAATAGTGAGGTTCACTAGAATTTGCATTCATTCCAGTATGTGCCTTTATCAGTAAATATTGCGTATGATCTGAATTCGATTCATTTGAATATCCTCAAAGACCGGCACATATTGCTTTGACTTTTTTATTCGGTTTGCATACTGGGTGTTTGAGTGCTGCTATTGCTAATTGTTCCTTAGTGACTCTCAGCCCTAGTTTTGACATATCTACTACTGTACATTCCAAGCTCATCATTAGTTTATTATCCAGTTATGTGGAATGGATTCAAGACCTAACTGCAGCTAGTGTTTTGCAGAGTTTTCTGGCGTTTTGTCCTTAAGATTTTTCCTTCATTCCTTGTGTCTTACTTATTTTATTTCAGCAGCTTTTAGTTATGACTGTTTCTTTTGTTATGGATAACTATTGGTCGTGATTTGTTTCATATATGTTTATTTCTTTATTTCTGAAAAAAACAGAGGAAGAGGAGCTCCAGCGCGTTCCTGGTCAATTTGATTCAGTAGAAGAGTATATCAGCGTATTTGAGCCTTTGCTTTTTGAAGAATGCCGAGCACAGCTATATAGTTCGTGGGAGGAATCATCAGAAACAGTTTCCGGTCATGTTAGGGTATCCATAAAAAGCATTGAAAAGCGTGAAAGGGGTATTATTCTATTATCCCAACTTTTTTTTATACTAGAACTTGATGCAGTGTTTTTTATTTCAGTATCTAAATAAAATGAAAACGTTCTGCACGCCCAGTCTGATGTTGTTGTGATTCTTTTTTGGCCCAGTCTGTTGTTGTTTGCTCCTGATTCCTGAAAATTGTGATTTCTGCGGTTATGAATATTCATTTCCACTTATCTTGATTTTGTCATTATCAGATACCGCAAAACGTATCTGCTAGTTATGTGTGTATGTTTGTTCAGTACTTAAGGAAGGAGATGCGCAGTCAATTCTTTTAATCTCATTTTGCTTTTCTGCTATTGGCTCTCCCAGGATGGTTTGATGTGATACTAATTCCGCCACATGAATACAAATGGACCTTTAAGGAAGGAGAGGTTGCAGTTCTTTCATCCCCTAGGCCCGGTGCAGGTTACTTCTTGAATAAATTTTCTTCCTTTTTGTTTCACAATAAACTGTAAATCTGACTGTGATTTGTAATTGGAAAGCCAGATGTTTACATACTTTAAATGATAAAATGCAGTCAATATTAGGAGGAACAATGCCGGGGCTAGGGATGATGAGGAGAAGGCAGAAGTTAATGGTCGTGTTGCTGGAACAGTGAGGAGACATATACCTATTGATACCCGAGAAAAACATATTGGGGCAATTCTTCACTTCTATGTTGGGGATTTATATGATTCGAGCAGGTCAGTAATAATAACTTTTTGTCCTACGACTCTTTTCAGTTTACAGTACTTTATTTTTTAGTGCTGGGACCATTACCACTTTTTGCATCAATATTTATTGCTGTTACTTTGTTTTTATTACTGTAGCAAGATTAACGAGGATCACATTCTGCGGAAGCTCCATCCAGGGGACGTTTGGTACCTTACTCAGCTTGGTTCTCTGGCAACCACACAGCGTGAATATGTTGCTCTGCATGCATTCCGTCGTCTTAATTTGCAGGTTCTATTTGAAACTTAGTTTGCAGCTAGTGACATCAATCAGTGTGATGCTTTTATGCTTGACATTTATGATACCCTCTTGCAGATGCAAAATGCGATTCTTCAGCCTAGTCCTGACCAGTTCCCAAAATATGAAGAACAGCCACCTGCAATGCCTGATTGCTTCACTCCAAATTTTGTTGAATATCTGCACAAGACTTTTAACGGACCCCAGCTAGCAGCGATTCAATGGGCCGCAACTCATACTGCTGCTGGTACATCGAATGGCGTGGCAAAAAAGCAAGATCCATGGCCTTTTACTTTAGTTCAGGGCCCCCCTGGCACTGGTAAAACACATACAGTATCGGGAATGCTTAATGTGATCCATCTTGTCCAGTATCAGCACTATTACACTGCATTGCTAAAGAAAGTTGCACCCGAAAGCTATAAGCAGGTTAATGAGAGCAGCTCAGATAATGTGGCTGTTGGATCTATTGATGAAGTTCTCCAGAGCATGGATCACAATCTCTTTCGAACTCTTCCAAAACTTTGCCCAAAACCTAGGATGCTTGTCTGTGCTCCCTCAAATGCCGCAACTGATGAACTGCTTTCACGTGTCTTAGATCGTGGATTTGTTGATGGTGAAATGAAAGTTTATCGACCTGATGTCGCTCGGGTTGGAGTGGATTCGCAGACTCGAGCTGCACAGGCAGTTTCTGTGGAAAGAAGAACTGAACTACTTCTGATGAAGAGCCGTGATGAAGTTCATGGATGGATGCACAATTTAAGGATCCGAGAAAATCAGTTATCTCATGAAATTGCTCATTACCAGAGAGAGCTCACAGTCACTGCTGCCAGTGTTCGTGCACAAGGATCTGTTGGTGTTGATCCAGATGTTCTTATGGCCAGAGACCAAACACGGGACGGTTTACTTCAAAAACTTGCAGCTGCAGTTGAGAACAAAGACAAAACATTAGTGGAGATGTCTCGACTTTTCATTTTGGAAGGCAGATTTCGTGGTGGTGGCAATTTTAATTTGGAGGAAGCCCGTGCAGATCTTGAGGCTAGTTTTGCCAATGAAGCTGAAATTGTTTTCACTACAGTCTCAAGCAGTGGGCGGAAATTGTTTTCTCGTCTAACGCACGGCTTTGACATGGTTGTGATTGATGAAGCGGCACAGGCTAGTGAAGTAGCAGTGCTGCCTCCACTTTCTCTCGGTGCTGCTCGCTGTGTTCTTGTGGGAGATCCTCAGCAACTTCCTGCTACTGTCATCAGTAAGGCAGCTGGAACATTGTTGTACAGTCGAAGCCTTTTCGAGAGGTTCCAACAAGCTGGCTGCCCAACTATGCTTTTATCCGTGCAGTATAGAATGCATCCCCATATTAGGGATTTTCCTTCGAGGTACTTTTACCAAGGACGCCTTACTGATAGTGAGAGTGTTTCTAATCTTCCAGATGAGATTTATTATAAAGATCCTTTACTGAGGCCGTACGTCTTTTTCGATGTTACTTACGGTCGAGAATCTCATCGTGGAGGGTCTGTTTCTTATCAGAATACACAGGAAGCGCAGTTTTGTGTTCGTGTGTATGAACATCTTCAGAAAACATTGAAATCATTAGGGGTTGGGAAAGTGTCTGTTGGCATCATCACTCCGTATAAGCTGCAATTGAAATGTCTCCAACGGGAGTTCAAGGATATATTGAATTCAGATGAAGGAAAAGACATTTATATTAATACAGTGGATGCTTTCCAAGGCCAAGAACGTGATGTCATTATTATGTCATGTGTTCGTGCATCCAGTCATGGGGTTGGGTTTGTTTCAGACATCCGCCGAATGAATGTTGCTCTTACTCGAGCAAAAAGAGCACTCTGGGTGAGATTTGTCTTCCTCCTTTATGTCTTTCACCACCTAAGTGTTGTTTTCCTCCTTTATTATATCTCGAGTACCTTTTTATATCATTTTGTTTCTAATTTCTGACAGGTTATGGGAAATGCGAATGCTCTGATGCAATCTGAGGATTGGGCTGCGTTGATTAATGATGCCAAAGCCCGGAACTGTTACTCAGACATGGATTCTCTGCCTAAAGACTTTATACCTGAATCATCGACATATGGCACATTTTCTTCGAAGAATTCTAGTGCGAGGGGCTTGAGATCTGGACCAAGATATAATAGGTCACATGATTCACACTTTGAGTCCAGGTCTAGGTCTGGAACACCGTCAGAAGACGATGAGAAGTCAAATTTGTCTACACTTCCTAGGAATGGAAATCATCGGGTTTTAAGACAAGGAGCAGAAAGTTCATTGAATGGTTTTGATCAACCTAGTGATAAATCTCGAGATACCTGGCAAAACGGCATTCCGAAGAAGCAAAATGTTGCTGGTGGTTTTGTAAAGCGAGACCTGTAGCATCAGGTTTACTGTGATGGAATATGGTTGTGGTCTTAAAAGCGATTCGAGCACGATCCCATGCTTCACCTCGTGATTTGGTCGGTGGATATTACCAGGGGCGTTCTAGTCAGCCCGGGAGCTGAAAGTACGATCACGTGTACCAACTGTGTTGCACTTTGAAGAAGATGGGTTTATGAAGTTTCGATTTGATGAGAAGATCAAGATTTGTCACGTTTTGATCCATGCCTTGGTGGGGTTTTCGTAAATCCAGTGAATTGTTCGGTTAGATTCTACGATCATGGGATTTCTGATGCAGTGATGGGGCATGACTTGTTGGATATGATGAAAGTCGGAGTTTGCTTGTGTTAGAAAGTCATTTGAGCCGGTGGAACGATATATATACTCTTAGCGCGCAAGTTACAAATATCTTGGCCGAAAAATGTTGGGAATCAGTTTCTCGGATTGTGGTGGGTGGCTGATAGTTTTACTCTTAACTGGAAATTCGTAATCTGGTTGAAGAATGTGAACCAGATGAGTTGATGAACAGTGGGCGAGGCGTAGAATGTAGGAACACATAGGAATTCGTTTTTTTTTTTACAGATAAATATAATTTCTTTATATGCCTTGATTAGTGCTCCGAAGTTGTACATTTTTAGAAGATAAATTTCGACGCAAACTTCTTACGGTATTCAATCACTTTTCACCATGTTATTTATTGCCTTGTGCTACTACTTATACGGCGGCTGTAGGGGAATATGTTTATGTGGTTGTTTTTTAAATACAGGTTGACTGGTTGTAACACATCCATTGGATTCATCGACAGTCATTCTTCGGAGAGGTTTGCGACCTGTAAAAAGAATGTTACGTCGAAAGTCGAAACTAGTTATTGAATAATTGAATGTCATTTTATTATGTTGAAGAGAGAGATTGAGTTCTCGCATGTTGTAACTTTCAAGACGTCTCATGTTTTATTTGTAGGGAAAACTCCGTGCGGCACAAGTTATCTCATAAGATAACTATGGCTCATTTGGTTGGCAAGATTATCCATTATTAACTAAATAATTAGATTTGGTTGATGTTTGGTATTCCCCACAACTTTCCGGGTCGACCTGAAGATATTATGTTATTATGTCTCTTGCCTTATCTTGCCTTTTAGAGAGATTTTTAAGTCGTGGAATTAATATGAGATTAAAAATGACTTACTATGGCTATGTTTGGTAAGCTTTTGGGCTTACATTTCTATTTTATTCTGGAGAAAGATGTTTTGGGGGAAAAATTTGAAAATAAAATAAAGTTTGTTTGTGTTTTGAGAGGAGACAATTTGTACTGTAGCAAGTCAAATCATGTCTAGAACGTGTTGGAAAAATGTATTTTGGAAGAAGAATTTGAAGGATAAAGTGATTTTAGTTTGTATTTTAGTGAAGACAATTTTTCACTGTAGCAGTCAAATCATGTTTGTTGGAGAGAGAAAAATTTGAATTTTTTTTTGGGGAAATTTTTTGAAAATATTTTAGAAATATAATTTTATTTTGGGGAAAGAACGAAAAGAATTTGAAAACGTAAACAAACATAGCCTATGTGATTCAGATTGGGAATTGCTATTTGCGGTTTGAAAATGCTATTTGCGGTTTATAACAAAACCCCCCAAAAAACACTTTATCTCTCTAAAACCCCAAAATTTCCCAAAAAAATCCAAAAACCCCCCCAAAATGCTTAAAAGCCCAACTTGGGCGCCCATTCATGCAGTGCACGCTCAAGTTGGGCGTGCAAGCTGCATTTGGGCGCCCGAGTTGGGCGTCCAGTGCAATTATTATTATTATTATTATTATTATTTTTTTAATTGAACGCCCAAGATAGGCGCCCAAGGCGTGTACGAACACCCGGAACGGGCGTTCGTACACGCCTTGGGCGTTCGAACATTTTTTTTGCGAAAAAAAACCCTACAAATCGATTTGTAGGGTTTTTTAACATGAAATTGGTTCCGTAATCGACCTACCCAATGCATATTACACATAAAAGAGCCGAAATTACATCAAAAAATCGAAGCCCAACCCTTCTTCAAGCTTGATTTCAAATTTTCGATTTTCTTTTTGTTATTTGCAGTTTTGGGGGGTTTTGGATATTTTTAAAAGTTTTGGAGAGTTTTGTTATAAACCGCAAATAGCAATTTTGTGACCGTAAATAGCATTTCATTTCAGATTTGATCCTAGACAGCCAATTTTCTATTGTATATCCCATATTAAAAAAATTCAATAGGATGTAAGCTTATATCTAATAGACCCTTCTAAATATATAAGCAAAGGAAAAACGAGAGATATTTTCCAGATAATTAAGCTCTAAAATTCGACCGACACAAAGTCTAAATAAAGAAGTGTTTCTCTCTTCAACCAAGTCTTGTATTTATAATAGTCCAGAAAGATTTGTACAAGGAATAAAGTCAAGGACAAAAAACCATTCTCCAAAACTACAGGGTGGCCAAATATTAGAGTCCTTGGAGACAAATTTTCGACCACCATAGGGATCAAAGGAGAAAATATAATTCGTCTAATCATAATCAACTAAATTCAAATTTTAAAATATTTTATTCACTTAATTATCAAATAATAATTTATTTTCCTTCATCACATAATTGTTAACTTTCGTTTATATTCTTAAACATTATATTTTAGCTCCGGTTTATCATTACATAGAGTCATCTTCAAACGAAGATAATTCAATAACCACCAAATAATTTATTCACTGTCAAATAAATTAAATGACATATGTTCTTGAATTTTACCTGCTAGCTTAACTTATTTGAGTATGCTGGATACATAATCCACTTGGCCAAGTCTTAGGCATAAATAAAACTCATAAGCTACTCAATTGTTATATATCAATCTCCTATTTGAAAGATGCGAATTCCTTTAATTCTTAATGTCCCTACCCAACCTACCGAGGTTCACTTGACTAATCAATATGACAATATCGGAATCTTTCCCATTGTCTATATATATACATATATACACACACACACTCAGCGGCGGACCCAAGGTATGCCTTGGGGGGGCCTCCGCCCCTGCAGAATTTTTTTTTTACCTGTATTTTATTAAATTTTTAATATTTTATGTTATTTATCTATTAATTTATATTATTTAGTCTCCCAAACTTCAAATTTAGTATCATTTTAGTCCAAAAAAAAAAATTCTAGGCCCCCCCCCCACCCAATATTCCCTGGGTCCGCCCCTGCACACAATATATATATATATATATATATATATATATATATATATATATATATATATATATATATATATATATATATATATATATATATATATATATATATATATATATATATATATATATATATATATATATTTATATATATATATATATAA